ACTTCTCAGCAGTATAAAAAGTGAATGGCTTATATAAGCGTCATTGGTAAATCCCAAAAAAGTATGCTGCATGAGGGAACTCAGGGGGAGAAAAGAGTAAATATTTTATGATTTGAATCATATAAAATTCTAGAAAATGCAAACCCATTGTGAAGGAAAGTAAATCAGTGGTTGTCTGGAGAGTTGGAGAGGGCAGGGAGAGAGATGATGATGAAGAGCATGAGGTAAATTTAGGTGTGGTTTTCTATGTTGAAATATCATGAAAATGAAAGTAAAGGCATATTCATGTTATAAACTCATAATACAACAAAGAGAATAAGTAGAGGGGGTGGCTTGTGGGGACCTTGCACATAGGAGCCAGTTTGTCCAGCAGATCTTCGAAGAGACTGAGCTCTGATTTGACTGACAAAGGCTGGATGGAAGAGATAAGTGAGCTGCAAATGAGAGGGTTAATTAAAGATTTCTATGTAAAATAGTTAACCCTGCTCCCACTTGGTTTCTAGACAAAATAGTCTCCTTATTTTTAAGAAATAGGATAACCTGGGAAGAAATAGGGCCCTTAGAGAGTGACATTGGGCTGACCTCATTGGTCACTTTGGGGGCTCTTGAGTCTTACGTATATGCTGCCTCTAATTAAGCACCCTAAAGAAAAGCCTGTCAGTTGACAGGTTCTGTCCATGTACACAGAGTTAGGATTCATTTTCCTGACACCTGCTCCCCTTTTAAAATTGTAACGTTCATATAAAATTAACCATTTTAGGGCGCCTGGGTGGCTCAGTCGTTAAGTGTCTGCCTTCGGCTCAGGTCATGATCCCAGGGTCCTGGGATCGAGTCCCACATCGGGCTCCCTGCTCGGCGGGAAGCCTGTTTCTCCCTCTCCCACTCCCCCTGCTTGTGTTCCTGCTCTCGCTATCTCTCTCTCTGTCAAATAAAGAAATAAAATCTTTAAAAAAAAATTAACCATTTTAAAGTTGAAATTCAGTGGCATTTAGTACATTCACAGTGTGGAACCATAATCTCCATCTAGTTCCAGAACATTTTCATTACCCAAAAGGAAACCTGGTACCCATTAAACAGTTATTTCTCACTCCCCCCAGCCCTGGGCAACCACTAATCTGCTTTTTTGTCTCTATGGATTTACTTATTCTATATATGTCATATAAATGGAATCATGCAATATATGACCTTTTGTGTCTGGTTGCTTTCACTTAGCATGATGTTTTTGAGGTTCATCCAAGTTATAGCATGCATCACTACTTCATTCCCTTTTTTGGTGACCCTTTGTTTTTTTAACCAAGAATCACCAGACATTTGAGGAAAACATGCAAAATGGAAGAGAAATAGGAAAATTGATCTGAGCTGAAACAGACCAGTAGATGATTTTGCTTGTTTTTAAAAGCATACTATTTAGTATTCTCCTAGATATTCAAGAAGATATGGCATCCATGAAACAATCGGAGATGCCATCTGGAAGAAACTGTCAAAATAAAAAAGCTCATAGAGATGAATTATGCGTTTGTCAAGTTAAAAAATATTCCGCAGATAGATCAGAAGATAAAAATCAAGAGAAAATCTCAATATAAAGCCAAAATACAGGCAAAAATTGATGCGGAAAAAAGAGACATAGAGGATCAATTCAGAGATCCATCATCTACCAGAATTTCTGGGAAGTGAGAACAAAAAATTGAAAGGAGGGAAATATTTAAAAGTATAAGAAGAAGAAAATTTCCAGGATCTAAAGAAAGGAGCATTCTTCATATTGAAAGGTTCTACCCAATGCCCAGAAGAAGAAAGAAAGACGCAGTGCTAGAATTTCAGAAAAACAAGAATAGACGGAAAACCCTAAAGGTTTCTGTATACACTGGGTCTTCTAAAAGAAATGGGAATCAGTTTGTCATCCACAACAGTGACAACCAGAAGGCAGTGGAACAGCAGTCTTCCAAGTCCTGAGGGAGAATGATTTTGAACTTAGAATTTGTCATAGCAGAATACACTTGTTTTCAGATGTGCAAGGACTCCCAAAATTTTCTTTCCTTATACCTTTATTGAAGCTGTTAACTTGGCAGATGAAAATAAAAAATGAGGAAAATAAGAAATGGCTGAACTAACCTAGTAGTCCAATAAAAAGTCTCATGTTACCTGTACAGTAGGAACTCTGTTTTACCCTGGAAAGTAGCCAGCCCAAATTTGAACACAGATTTGATGGGATCCAAGAAAAATTCATTCGGGAACGGGAATGGATAGATTCCAAGCACCAGGTAAAATGAAGAAGCTGGAAGATAGTTGGAATACAGTGAAGAAATCATAGAACTTTTTACAAGGGGCAAGGGAATTAGAATTCCTATGCAAAGCAGAAAAACTATATGCAAAAAGTTGTAAGCAAATATAAATCAAACACATAAGTGGCACAAGTATAAGTAATTGGTGGCTACTAAATAGAGATAACGTATTTGTGCCTAATGTATAAAGAATATCCTTCTTTGAATGGCCCAAGGATAGTGGCTTTGGAAGCACAAGGAAGAAAATGGAATTCTGGTCCTGTAAATATTTTAAAGTTACAAAGGTAACTGATAGAAGGAACTGAAAATAGTAATTTAAATATAAAAAGGTTGGGCCTTGGAAGGGGGTGGTAGGGAGTGGTATAAGTAAACTAAATCTGCTATAGAATTATGGGCATGCTCAATGAGGTTGGTGACAACCAGAACTGTAGAGATTTCTCCTGGATAGGAAGACTGGGAGGCTGGGGAGGGACGGGGTGGCAGGTATTGTTCCTTTTCATCGAAGTGCTTTTTATAAACCATTTGATTTTCTTTGTTATTGGTAATTGGGATAGGTTAAGAACTCATTGATTCCCAATAAACAAGTGTTTCCTGAGTGTCTTCCGTTATTTTAACTTTTAGATAGATGCTGAGAGCTGGGGAAAAAAAAATAGTTTGACGTCTACCATAAAATAATTTTAAGATCTCTTTGCCTTTAGTTTCTGCCACCTCCTTTTTTAGAATGGTGAGAGAGGAGATCTAAATTCTTTTTCTCCTATTTCATATTTTCTGATATATCCACTAAAAGTGCCACTTTGATTATCTTGGTCTGTTGAAAAACTTAACGTAACTTCTTCAGACTCCAGCCTGAACTGAACTGCTTCCTGTTGCCCATTTCTCTAACCCATGTGTTTGAGTTTTGTCTCCTCAAACCTCCTGTAAGCATCTCTGCCCTTCAGAACCCTCTGCAAACTCTCAGAAGACCTCTTGTCCTTCCTTTTTTTATTTTTTATTTTTTTAAACCTTCCTCAGATTAGCTGTATCTGGCCTCTTCCTGCATCCCCTAGAGGCCTGAAAGATCTTGGTGCCTGTCTGGGTTCTGGAGGAGAATGTGGGTATGCCATGACAGAGGATAGTGTTAGCATGTAGGACCTAGTCCTGGTGCTGGCATTGTGCCAAGTGCTCGCTTATGGCAGAAAAGGAAATTGTTTCAAATCTCTGTCCTCAAGGAGCTTCCATTTCTGATGGAGTTTTATATAAACAGAAAGGTTATAAAAATAGCGTTATATGTTTTAAGCATAGCTACCTAAGGCCAACAATCAGTAGTTCTGCTTTGAAATATGTTCTTGGAGTCTGTGGCTTTATCAGTAAAATATGCTAGCCTCTGAGGTGTCCTCTAGAGAAGAGTGGGAACATGAATGATACTGCCAAGATAGTGTTTGGTATTCTCTCTTATATGCCTCCTTACAGTAGCAGTAGCTACAAGAGGCAGAGCATTATTTGAAATCATTTTTTGGACAAGATGGGCTTGTGGCTGCATGAACATGGTAGGAGATTTGGCTTTTAATCCTACAATGTGCAGTTCATTGGATGACAGCTCCTGTCTGCATTTCTTTTGGTTTGGTTACTGGATATGACCTTGGTTCTTAAAAATGGTGGTCATCCTGCTTTATGGCACCCCCTGGAAAACTCTTAGAATTCTAGTAGGGGCTTAACCAGCCTTTTGTACTAAGTACTTTCCAGAGGTTTTTCATTAAAATGCACACCCTAAAATATAGGCAGGGATTTACTCCATGATACTGTAGCAGGTGATGGATGGATGAGGTACAGATAGAGTGGACCTGGCCATGAGTTGATGTTGGAGCTGGGTGATGGGTACATGGTTTTCATCATACTCTTCACTTTTGTAGATGTTTGGAATTTTTCATAATAAAGTACCCTCGTGGTCAGGGATGGATGACTCATATTTTTGCTTTATTGTATTTCCATAAATAACTTATTTAGTGAGGTCTTTGGGTTTCTTGGTATTTATTTTAATGATCAAAGACAGACTGAGTTAAGGTTAGACAAGAGAAATCTTCAAATTTAGCCAGATTTTTAAAAGCATGAATAGCATGGGTGCCTTGATTACAACTCAGCCCACCCTCCATGGAGACCTATAAAGAAAAAGTGAAAGGAAGCAAAGTTACGATCAGGAGCCAGAGAGCTGGCCTTCTAGAAGCTGAGAATATGTAGATGTGAAGTATGGGAGAAGTGAAGGCCCACCACTTAAATTAGACTGTAGGGGTGAGCCTTGCCTAAAGTCAGAGGCCTGCTGGGACCCCACTATCACCACCACTGCTGCTGATTTTGTCCCATTCTAGGGTGATGTTCACCTATTCCTTTGTCTCTGTGGTTTGACCTTGTTTCTTCCTCTTATGCCTTTTAGTACTTTTTCGCCTCACCCCCCTACCCTCCAAGACCTGAATTCATCCATCTTGATCTCCTTAGGCTAGCTTTCCTATATCAATCATGTCCCTTTCTACCCCAGACCCAGAAGCTCACCCACAATTCACTCCTTTCCTTCATCTCTGCTGTTTAGTGAATTACCACTAGCGTTTGTTAACAAATGTGATTGGACCACGAAGTGGCTTAACACAGGCTGAGGCATGGAGACCCATTCGTGTAGCCTTAAAAATTTTCAGGCAGTTGGCAAGTAAGAATTCTAAATAAAAATTGAAACTACCACCTGTATTTTTTCAGGCCGTTGATGCTCACTGCCATCAGCTGCATCCTCCCTATGGCACTGGTAAGTGTGGGAAGGGCTGGTGACAGTTTTGGTGGGCTGCTGGATTTCTTTTTTCTGGGGGAAAGATCTATTTGCAAGCCGTGTTATTAACTTGTCCCCGAGGGCTGGACAGCTTGAACCAGCTATAGGAGACTAAAAAGAGGAAGAAGCAACTGACCATGCCCATGGGTTTCCTTGGGGAACTGTTGTGAAGAGCAGAGGCTATTCACTATGTGCCTTGATCCTTACATAAAATTAGCACGTTCTGTGCATTATTTTGAATAATAATACTATTCAAGTGCTCTGGGATGTCAAATAATAACTGTTAAATTTCCTGAAACTCTTAAAACATTTTTTCCAAAAATGGATATTGGCTGTGTGTTAGAAAGGGTCCAAAATGTTGTATGTACTTATCATTTCCTTCAGTAGCAAGGTTTATCTCACTCTGGTATTTTAAGTTCTTTGTGGTCAGGAGATCAAGAAGTGTTTGTTCCAATGATTAATATAAAATTCTGATAGAGAATTACAAAGAAATTTGTGGCTCTCATTTACTAACAAACTTGAGGTGGACTTGGGGGGACCTGTGATTTTAAAAAATTGTTTTTACCACATTCTGCTTTCTGCTTAGGGACCTAATGGAGAAAATATACACAGTAAAGTTGAAACAGGGTGGGACAGCAAGTCACAGAATTGCTGAAGTATAAGTCAGTAACCAAATTGCTGCTGGAATTACCTTATCTAAGGTCTTGAAATCCTGCTGCTGTCTCCTTGTAGTGAGTGGGTTGGAGGCCATGCAGATTCAGAAGTTTTATCTCATCAAGGTGGTCTCCACTTTAAGTGACAGTTGGATGTTTACACTATTTCATTTCTCTAGTCTCTGAAGCCCTTAGAATATGGAAGGAAGTGCCTCCAGAATATCTAATGAAATGCAGAGGTGGACTTTTATACTGTTAACCAGTGAAGAGCTCCTTGCTGGTGACAGTGGCTAAAACATTCATGTACACTTTATTACATCTCTGTGAGAAAAATCTTAACATCATTGGCCCATATTCTAGATTTCCCACTGGTCCCCACTTCCCATCCCCCAAGCCCTACTTATGAAGTAGGGATAGAATTGTATGCACACTTACTACACTGTTTATAAGAAATCGAAAGAACTTGACTCCCCAGCAGCTGTCTACTCCTTTAGGTATCTGTGCACAAGTGGTAACTACTGAACATGTTTTGAGGGCTTGTATCAGGGAAATAACCTTAAGCGTCTGTCCCAAACATAGATTGTAGAAAATGACAGAAGATTTTTGCCTGCAACCTTGGGGAAATACTGAAGACCAGCAGCAAAGTCCTTTCCGACATGCATGTAGCTAAGGTGTTCCTGAAATAAAGAACTGGAAACCACTCGAGGGTGTTGAGATTATAAATGCAACGGCAAAACAAAGCCAGACTGGATTGGCAACGCAGAACAGTGTTCAGGGTAAATGACAACAGAGGGTGATCCCACAGTTTTTTCAAGCTGGAAGGCAAGCTCCCCAGAGGCTCCTGACCCATTGTTGGTCAGGTTTGATGGTATAGAGAAAGAGGAGAAAAAGGCAGGGAAGATAGGCTGCTCTTGGCTTCTGCTCTTACCACATTTTTTACTCTGGACCACCAGAGACTTAAGGGCATCCTTCAGTCTTTGATGAACTTTATACCACTATTTGTCCTCTCTTCCCCACCTTGATCAGTCACATTCCCTTCCCCAGCTCCCAGGAAAAATAAGAGAGGAGTTTTTTACCTTTGGGGCTTCTGTTCACACTGACCAAGGCTTAAGCACAACTGTGATGCCTCAAAGACAGGCCTGAGAGCTGTGCTTTGTGGAATGGCAACATTTAAGGAGTAGAACATCCATGGGAACACTAAGAAGGCTTGATCTGGGAGGTTGAAAGAGAGCCACAGAGTGTTATAAAGTTATTGCATTACAGACCTGTGTGGAAGTTATATCTGCTTATGCTGAAATTCACATTGTATGATCAATTAACCTTTGGTCAAAACTATGTTAAAACTCTGGAGGGGAATTTTTTATTTTGAGGAGTAAATAAAGGTCAAAGTGATTATTTGATATAGTAGCATAAAGGTCAGCCTTTTGTTTATTGTGACATTTGTTCATGCAAGTTACTACAATTGTGTTAGAAGTACCTCCTGACTTCTATTATGAAAAATTAAAACAGAAGTTTAAGGAATTGTACAGTGGACATCCATACACCTACTGTCAAGATTATACATTTGCTAACCTTTGGCTACATTTGCTTTGTTATGTATCTAGGCATCAACCAATTTTATTTTTATACAGATTTGTTGAAATATTATTTACATGACATTAAATTCACCCATTTTAAAGTGTACGTTAAATGAATTTTAGTAAGTTTATGCAGCTATGTAACCATCACCACAATCTGAGTTATAGAACATTTTCATCATCTGGAAAGTTCCCTTGTGTTCGTTAGTCCCCAGTCACAGCCCCAGGCAACTAGGAATCATCTTTCTTTCCATATGGTTTTACCTTTTCTAGAAACTTCATATAAATGGAATTGTACAATATGTAGTCTTTTGTGTCTGGCTTTTTTCACTGAGCACAATGTTTTTGAGGTTCGTCCATGTCGTATTACATGTCAGTAGTGCTTTCCTTTTTATTGCTGAATGATTTTCCATTGTATGGATATATTACATTTTGTTTATCCATTCATTCATCAGTTGATGGACATTGGGTTGTTTCCAGTTTGGGCTATTATGAAATATGCTGCCATGACCATTCATGTCCAGGGCTTTAAATGGACGTATGTTTTCATTTCTCTTGGATAGATATCTAGGAGTGGGATTGCTAGGTTGTATGGTAAGTGTGTGTTTAATGTTTTAAGAAACTGCCAAACTGTTTTCCAAGGTGAATGCTATTTTAGATTCCTGCCAGCATTATATAAGGGTTCCAGTTTCTCCACGTCTTTGCTAGCACTTGGTATTGATAGTCTTTTGGATTATATTCATTCTAGTGAGTATGAAGTGGTATCTTGCGGTTTTAATTTGCATTTCCCTTATGACTGATGATGTTGAGGATCTTTTCTTTTGCATATTTATTGTTCATACCTTTTTCAGGTGAAGGGTTCAAATCTTTTGCCCATTTTTAAAAATTGGGTTATTTGTCCTATTGAGTTGCATGAGTTCTTTATAGATTCTGAATTAAGTCCTTTGTCAGATACATGATTTGTAATTATTTTCTCCTAGTCTGTGGCTTGTCTCTTCCATTTTCTTAATAATGTCTTTGAAGACTAAAAGTTTAATGAAGTCCAGTTTATCAGTTTTTTCTTTTAAGGGTAGTGCTTTCATTGTGTCTAAGAAATCTTTGCCTAAGCAGGGTTGCAGAGATATTCTTCTAGAAGTCTTAATGGTTTTTAGTTTTACATTTAAATCTGTGAACTATTTTGAGTTAATTTTTGCGTGTTATGAAGTGTCTAAGTTCTGTGGTTTGTTTTTGTATAATGATGTTCGGTTATTCAAGAGCCATTTGTTGAACGTTTCCTCAATTGAATTCATTGGCACCTCTGTATAAAATTAACCGTAAATGTCTGAGTTTACTTCTGGATTTTATTGTTTCATTGATCTCTGTTTCTAAGCCCCTACGTACTTTGCTGTCTTGATTACTGTAGCTTCATAGTAAGTTTTGAAGTCAGATGGTGTAAGTCCTCCAACTTTGCTCTTTCAAGATTGCTCTGGATATTCTGGGTCTTTTACCTTCCACAGATTTTAGGATCAACTTTTAATTTGTGCCTTCTGCCCCCCAAAACCCTGCTTTGATTTTGATTAATTTTGATTGCTGTGTTCGGTCTGGAGCTATGTTGTTCAGTCTGGTGGCTATGACCCTGTGTAGCCGTTGGGCATTTGAAATGTGGCCAGTTTGAATTGGTATATGCTATAATTCTAAAATATATAGTGTACTTTGAAGACTTATATAAAAAAAGGATATGAAATAAAATAGTTCATGAATAACTTTGTGGATTACATGTTAAAATAATATAGGTGTATGTATTAGTCTAAATAAAATATATCATTAAAACACATTTCACCTGTTTTAAATTTTAGTTTTCATTTGTTTGCTGCTGTATAGAAATACTTTTCGTTTTGTATATTGACTTTGTATTTTGTTATCTTACTAAATTCATTTACTAGTAGTTTGTATATTTGTTTAGGATTTTCTGAGTAAACAGTCATTTTATCTAGGAATAGAGACAAATTTGCTTCTTCTTTTTCCAATCTTTTATTAATGTATTTTGTCTTTTTTTCCCCCCCTTTGCCTTACTAACTGCCCTGGCTAGGACCTCCTATATAATAATGTTAAATGGTGAGGGTGGTCATCTGTACCATTTTACTGATATAGCATTCACTGTTTCATCATTGAATATAATGCTTTTCATAGATGCCCTGCATCAGATTCAGGCAGTTCACTTTTTGTCCTCATTTGCTGAGAATTTTTATCTTGAATGAATATTGAATTTTGTCAAATGGGTTTTCTGTGATGGAAATGATCATTTTTTCCACCTTTATTTTGTTAATTCAGTGAATTACAATAGGAGCTTTCAAATGTTAAATAATCTTTCCATTCCTGGGATAAACGTCACTTCATACTATATTGTCCTTTTTCTATATTGCTGGATTTAATTTGCTAAAATATTTGGATTTGTGTCTATGTTCATAAAGGATACTGATCTGTAATTTTCTTTTTGTTACATTTTTGTCAGATTTTTGTATCTGAATTATGTTAGTCTCATAAAATTAATTTGGAAGAAGTATTACTTTCTTGAATTTCTGAAAGTGTTTAAGATTAGTGTTGATAAAGTTCACCAGTAAAGAGTTGTGGGCATGGAATGTTGTGAGGAAATTTTTGATTATGAATTCCATGTCTTTAATAGATAGTTATTCAGTTTATTTTTTCCATTTTGTGTCAGTTTTGCTAAGTAGTGTTCAAGGAACTTGTCAGTTTCACCTAAGATACCAGATTTATTAAAATTAGATTATTTATAGCATTCCCTTATTTTTCCTTTTAGTACCTGTTAGGTTTTTAGGGATAGTCCCTTTTTCACCCCGGTTATTGGTAATTTGTATTCCCTTTTTTTCTTAAATGTTCTAGCTAAAGTTTTTATCAACTTTGTTGATCTTCTTAAAGAATCAGCTTACAGACTTTATTTTTCAATATTATTTGGATTTATTTATTTCTGTTTGGTTCTTTTTAATTTTTTCCTTTCACTTGCTTTGAGTTTAGTCGTCTTTTTCTAGGGTTTTTGTTTTGTTTTGTTTTTAATTTATTTGACAGAGAGAGGGAACACAAGCAGGGGAGTGGGAGAAGCAGGCTTCCCGCCGAGCAGAGAGCCTGATGTGGGGCTCGATCCCAGGACTCTGGGACCATGACCTGAGCCGAAGGCAGATGCTTAACAACTGAGCCACCCAGGCGCCCCTAGTTTTTTTTTTTTTTAAAGATTTATTTATTTATATGAGAGAGTGAGAGGGAGCGCGTGCGTGCAAGCGCACTCTCACACCTGCAGAGGCACGGTTAATGGGGCGGCAGAAGGAGAGAATCCTCAAGCAGACTCCTTGCTGAGTGCAGAACCCAACATGTGGCTTGATCCCAAGATCATGACCTGAGCTGAAACCAAGAGTCGGATGCTTAACCCACGGAACCACCCAGGCGCCCCCCCCATTTTTTTAAAGATTTATTTATATGGTCTTTTTCTAGTTTCTTAAGGGGACTTTATGTCATTGATTTTTAGATTTTTTTCCTAGGATAAACATTTACAGTTGTAAATTTCCCATGGCATCATGTTAGCATCTCACCAAGTGTTTTTTGTTTTTTTTTTTAAGATTTTATTTATTTATTCATGAGAGACACAGAGAGAGAGAGAAGCAGAGGGAGAAGCAGGCTTCCCGCTAAGCAGGGAGCCCGATGCGGGACTCGATCCCAGGACCCTGGGATCATGACCTGAGCCGAAGGCAGAC